CAGGGAACCACAACAGGAAAATAATATGACAAGGATAAACCAGTACATATCAGTTATAAACATCAATGTAAATGGTATCAATTAAGTAATCAAAAGAGACAGACTGGTAGGATGGGTCAAGGAACAAGATCCCATAGTTGAGTCTTTGTGCTAGTTCTTGTGTGACTGAGGTTTTGTTCATGAAATCTTTTTCTACACTAATGTCTTCAAGAATTTTGCCTAATCTCTTTTCCAGTCAGTTTATTTTTATCTGTTTTAATATTTAGATCTTTGATTCACTTTGATTTTAGTTTAGTCCATTGTAAGAGACAGAGGTCTAGTTTTAATCTTTGGCAAGTAGAAACCCAATTTTTCCAGTACCATCTCATCTTATTAAAAAATCTTTGCACAGCAAGAGAAACACCACCAGTGTGAAGAGACAACACACAATGTGGGAATTTTTTTTTTTTATCAGCTTTTCCTCAGGAAAAAGTCTACTATCAAGAATATATGAAGAACTTAAAAAAATTGGATCTCCCAAATTTAAAGACCCACTCAAAAATGGGCATCTGAAATGAACAGACATTTCTCAGACAAAGAAGTAGAAATAGCAAATAAACATAAAAAACCATTCAAAGTCACTGGTCATCTGAGAGATGCAGATGAAAACAATGCTGAGATTCCACCACACCCCAGAAAGAATGGCTGCTGTCAAGAAATCAACCAATAACAAATGCTGATGGGGCTGTGGGGAAAAAAGAACCCTGCTCCACTGTTGGTGGGAGTGTAGACTGATGCAACCACTATTGAAATCAGTGTGGAGATTCCTCAAAGAACTAGGATTAGTGGTCCCACTTGACCCAGCTATTCCCCTGCTGGGTATCTTCCCAAAAGATTGAAAACAGTCATACCATTGCCATATATATGTACCCATGTTCATAGAGGCATAGTTTGTAATAGCTAAAACTTGGAAACAGCCCAATTGCCCATTGACTGGAGACTGGATAAAGAAAATGTGTTTTTAAAAAAAATAAAATGGAGTACTACTTGGCCATAAAGAATGAGAAATTAGAGACATTTATAGGTAAATGGATGAACATTGAGGCCATACTCAAGTGAAATAAATAGAATACACATGTAAATACCAAATAGTTTCTCTGGTGTGAGAAACTGAAAGTGTAAATATGGATCAAAAGGTATAATAGATAATGTGAGATAGGAAGAAAAGGTCCAAAGTGGAAGGGGAAGTGGAAGGGGTTAGGAAAAGGAAAGAAGGGAAAGGAATAAATATGAGAAAAGGGAAAAATGGAAACAAAGTCTTTGAAAATAGGGAGGTGTTGAAGGGAGGGCAGAGGAATGGGGAAAAAAAAAGAATCAAGATATGTCATGTATAGGTAACATTCCCTATGATGAATGTGATCTATCTATCTATCTATCTATCTATCTATCTATCTAATCTGAAATGCACCAATAGTTAAAGAAAGAATAAAAGAGCAGAGTGAAAAATTAATACAAATCAAAACCATACTGAGATTCTATTTTATCCCAGTTATTTTCCTAATAGTTAAAGATGTTGAACATTTTAATATACTTATTGACTATTTGTACTTTGAGAAGTGTATGTTCAGTACTTTTGTTCATTTATTGATTGAGCTATTTGATTTTGGGGTGTTTTTTTAGTTCTTTATATATTTGAGGTATTAATCCTTTGTTGGAAGAGTAGCTGGCAAAGGTTATCCCTAACCTGATTTTTAGCTTTCCTGTTAACTTTTTCTTGATTCTCAGAGCACCTCTTCTGTTTCTCTTTACAGTTATTTTCAAGGTGTCTCAACTGCAGGTCTCAGAGAGGCTGAGAGAGGGTGAGAGAGGGCAAGAGACAGGGCAAGTGGGGAGGTGAGAGAGGGCGATTGAGAGAGGGTGAGAGAAAGGGTGAGAGAGAGAGAAAGTAAGAGAACAGGTGAGAGAGAGGGCAGTGAGAAGGGAGAGAGGGAGGGAGAGAGAGAGAGAGAGAGAGAGAGAGAGAGAGGGAGAGTGAGTGCGAGCGCAAGAGCGCGCCATGTCCTTGGCAGCACTTGGTGTTGTCAGCGTTCTGGACTTTGGTCATTCCAACAGGCGTGTAGTGGTGTCTCCTTGTTTTAACATGCATTTCCCAGAGGCCTATGATGTTGTATATCTTACCATGTGCTTGTCATCTTTATCGGAAGGTCTGTTCATGTATTTTGCCTATTTTTTTGGTTGTATTGTTTACTTATTAAGTTTTTGTTTGTTTGTTTTTGTTTTTTTGAGATAGGGTCTCACTGTGTAGTTCAGACTGCTCTGGAACTCACTGTGTAGCCCAGGCTGGTTTTGAACTCACAGCAATCCTCCTGCCTCAGCCTCCCGAGTGCTGGGATTACAGGCGTGCACCACCATGCCCAGCTTTATTGTTGAGTTTTAAGTTGTTTATTTAATAGTTCTTTATCAGATGTGTCTTTTGCAAATATTTTTCCTAGCCTGTGGCTTGTCTTCTCATTCCCTTGACAGTGCTTCACAGAGCAAAAGCTTTTAATTTTAATAAATTTCAACATCAGTTCTTCCTTTCGTTTTCCTTTCTCACTTTCTTTCTCTCTTCCTCCCCGCTTCATTCTCTTTGATACATTCTTGCTAATGGTTCAGATTGGCCTCAAACTCATGGCACTCCTCCTGTCTCAGGCTACTGATTGCTGGAATTACAGGTGCCCACTACCACACCTGGCAGTTATTTCTATTATCAGCTGTGCTTTTGATGTAGCTAACAGGTAATTGCCATACTGAAGGTTAACTAAGTTTTCTTCTTTATCATTTTATAGAAGTTTGTTTCACCCTTTACATTTTGGTCTTTGATCTGAGTTAATTTTTGTGGCATGTGTAAGTCTGTGTATAGATTCATTTCTTTGTATGTGGGCATCCAGTAACAATTGTTTCCAGCACTGTTTCTTGAAACATCTGGCTGGGTGCTATGGTACATATCTATATCCCAGCTACTTTAAGGCTAGGCATGAATATAACAAGCTAGAAGCCAGCCTGGGCAACTTAATGAGAACCTGAGCACCAGAGATGTAGCTCAGTGTAAGAACACTTGCCTAGCATGTGTAAGGCCTTTTATTCAATCTCCAAATTTACTTTAAAAAATTTCTTTTTTCATTGAGATGTTTTGCTCCTTTCTTAAGATTAGTTGATAGCTAGGAGTAGTGGCGCCCACCTGTATCTCAGCATTCAGGAGGCTGAGGCAGGAGGATCAGTGTGAGTTCGAGGCCAGCCTGGGCTACATAGTGAGACCCTATCTTAGAAAACAAAACAAACAACCAAAAAGATTAGTAGATGTGTTTGTTTCTGTCACTTTGGCCTCTTTGTTGTCCTGTTGATCTCTGTATCTGCTCTTTCACCTGTACTACAATCTTGATTTCTGTAGCTCCACAGTGAGTCTTGGCACTGGAAAGTGTCCATCCTCTGCCTTTATTTTCCTCCTTTAATGTTTTGCTGGATCATTGACCTTTTTATACATAAATTTTAGAATTTGTTGGTACCATATTTCTGCATATTTTAAAAACTTTTGTCTTTGAAGAGTTGCAGTTTCACTGTGTTGTGTCTCTGTATGGAGTCCTTTTTATTCTTGAAATGTATAAGACTTCCTGAGTTTAGATTCTTCATAGTTGCTGGATAACCCTTAGGCTGGTCACTTCTGCCATGTCCTTCATTTTGTGGCTCTCTGAGCAGACGTATCACACCTACTCTCTGATGGTGGTGGCCACCCTTATTCTCACTTTGTTGCATTCTGGTGATTTCTGCCGTCTGGTCCAGCTCATTAACACTTGATTCTTTTAATAGAGAATAAAGTACTTCCACTGATTTGTTGTTGTTGTTGTTGTTTTGTTTTGCTACCAGGGATCAAACTCATGACCTTGTGCTTGCAAGGTAGGCACAGTGCCACTGAGCTAAATCCTTGGCCCCCTTCCATTGAGTTTTAATTTTGTTTACCTTTTATTTCTAGAAGTTCTCTTTAGTTGTTTTTCAGATCAGTCACATTTTAAATAGTTTCCTATTCTTAATTCTTAATTATAATAATATTCTTAATAAGCATTCTTATTTCAAGCTTATTATTTTTTTTTGTTTGTTTTAGGGATCGAACTCAGGACCTTGGGCTTGCGAGGCAGGTGCAGCACAACTGAGCTAAATGCTCGGCCCTAAACATATACCCTTTTATTATCTGTAGCTCATAATTTCTGAAGTCCTTAGTGTTTCTCTTGTGATTATTTCTGCTCATTCTTTTTTTTTTTTTTTTGGTACTGAGTATCCAACTTGGGACTTTGGGTCCCAAGGCTTGCAAGGCAGGTGATGGAACCACTGAGCTAAATCCCCGGCTACTGCTTATTCTTCCTAGATTCAACCTGCTAAACAAATCCCATCAGTCATAAAGGTTGATTTGAGAAACCATGTGTCTTCCTCTGTTTCTTCCATTCCCATCTTTCCCAGGGTGTTGGTCCATTTAACAGTTGTTACCTGCTTTACCTTGACCTGTAAGGAAGTGATGTTTGGCAGGTATTGTTACTCCTGTCAGTGCCAGCCAGTGAGTTGAAGGCAACTGAATGTCCTCCAAAGCTGAAGTGATGGCCTGGTCACTGCAGCTCGAACCAGGTACAAAGTTTGTATTGCCCGACTCTGGGGGCTGATGTCCACAGAGTACCATTTGAGGACTGGTTTGCCCAGGTATTCCCTTGATACTACCCAAGTGGAGAGTGGGATTAGACATAGAGCCTGAGGGAGAATTTATAGGTGAAACCATGTGGTGTCCAGGACATGCTTTAAGTACAACAGCATCCTTTGACAAATTTTGGAGGATTATATGAAACATTTGGCAAAGTGTTGATAATTGCTGAAGCTAGACACATGGGAGTTCATTATAAATTGTCCAGCTTCTGTGCATGTTTGAAAATTCCTCGAGAAGTTGTTGCCTTTCCCTCTAAAGGAGCCTTCCTTGGACCCACCTTTTCTTTCATCCCCAGGCTGATGTGATGATGGACAGGGTGCCCTGCTGCCCGGTTTGCACTGGCGTCATGAAGCCTGATATTGTATTCTTTGGGGAACCACTGCCTGAGAGGTTCTTGCTGCACGTGCTTGATTTCCCCATGGCGGATCTGCTGCTCATCCTTGGGACCTCTCTGGAGGTTTGTCTCCCTGGAGGCCTGTACGGGGGGTAGGCTACAGGATGGGGGGATGACAGGTGTGTAGGCATCACCTACTGAGGTTCTGGTGGGTGGAGCTGGCACTGCAGGCTGTGTAGGAGGCTCTTGGGAGGGAAGTGGGAAGGGAAGGCAGCGTGCACCTGGCTGCCTAGGCCAGATCAGGAAGACTAGTGTCATGCTAGAAACAGTGATACACCTGGGGGTACTGAACCAGGGACAGAGCTGACCCCTGGGCCTGGGAATTAGATGCTAGTCCTACAGAAGGCAGGAAAGAAGGTGGTGTGTCATTTAGTCTACAGGGTCATCGGTTTGCTGGTTGAGAGCAGTTGGCAGAGAGTTTTGCTGAGCTAGGCTCTGCATATGGTTGGGGTACCTGAGAGATGTCTGCAGAATGTGTCCAAGCAGCTGTTCTGTATCTGGGTCTGAATGTCAGGAGATTTCTAAAAGACCTGATGATAGCAAGAAATAAGACTATGGAATGAGCTGGTACTTGACTAGATGTAGGCAGCAAGGGAAACAGGAGCAGGGAGCCTTTTTCTCAGAGGCCAGCTGGCCATTGAGTCCCAGGGTTATGTATGTGCTCAGAATGTCATTGTTGCTGCCTGTTGTTAGCATAGTCCTGTCCTGGTACTGGGGACAGACATAGCAGTCAGGACAGACAAGCTGGGAGATAAGGAAATTGCAGTACAGATTTGATGGCTTTGTGTGCTTCATCAGCAGGTAGCACTGGAGGTGAGGGTTTCAGTGGAGGCAGTTTGGTAGGGGGACTCACATAGCAGACAGTGACGGTAGGACCAAGGGAATGACAGGGCACCAAGAAGGGGCACTGCTTCGATTCCTGTTGGACCACCTTCTGTGGGTGCTGGGTTGTCACTGCAACACAGGGCCAGCCTAGCAGAGGCCTTGCAGGTGGTGATTGCATGGTGCTGGCTGGTGGCCAGGCCAAGCCAGCAGGATGGAGGGCTCACAGGCCTGCAGGATGCTCAGAGGACCCAGGGTTGTGGCCTGCACTTGGACAGGTTTGGGGATGTACAGCACCAGCCTGAGGAGTGTATGAGGGACCATATTTTTATATCCTCACCAACACCAAAATTATCTGTCTTTTGTCAGTCTGACTGGTTAAAAATAGTATGAGACAACAGTTGTACTTAAAAACATTTGCTTGGTTTATAGAAGATCAATAATGTTTTGTGACCATTTAAGTTGTGACAGTAGATTGTTTTATGTGTAAGTATTATTGTTAAATTCAGGGACTGTTTCCAGGCAAAGAATATGAATCACAAATTAGAATGGACATTAAGTGTGATTAGGATAGTATATCAAAGGTCTGTCGTCCTAGATTCCCATATGCATGGTGAGAAATTAGAACAAATTGGATAGGCCATTGACATATGGACTCTGAGAAGCCTGTTAGAAAAATACTTTGACTCCAGGCCCTAAAATATACCTAAAATAAATGGAGGAGTGCTCATCTCATTCACATAGAGAGCTCCCTGGATACTTAGCCTGTAAAGGAAAAAGATCTCCCTACAGCAGGTTATGTTCAAGAGCATAACAGGTGAGTGCAGGACTGGGCCAGGCCCTGGTAGCATTGCTACTTGGGAGGGGCCATTTCATCTTTGTATCAGTTATTAAATGTAGAATTCAGGTTCTTGGTCAGGTTCCCTCAAACTCTTCTGAGGTGTCCATGTTGAACTGCTTGAGCTTTGTTTTGGCAACCCCTTCCCCAAAGTTACTTATAGGCTCTTCTTCAGCTTGTTTCCAGTACTGGGTGTTAATGGTTTGTATCTAGATGTTCCCCCAAAGGCTCATGTAGCCACAGGTGGGGCTTTTTGAAGATGGCTGGATATAGGGCATGTGCTGCTGGGATCAAGGATGTAATGCTAAGGATTAAAGGTGTGAGTGGAGGTAGCCTGGATAAGACCTAAATGACAAAAAGAGGCTTGTTGTGTGTTTGCTTTTGCTGTCTTCTGCTTCCCATGAGCTGTTTCTCCTCTGCAATGCCCCTTTGCCATGCCACCCTGCCTTGGAGCCAGCCAACTATGTACGGAAACCTCTACTAACTGTGAACCAAATAAACTTTTCCTCCTTCAACTCTGGGTGTTGGGTATTTTGTCTCAGCAGTGGGAAAAAGTAACTAAGACACTGGGGAAGGGAACAGAGTATTCTTTTTTGAGGTGGAAGTAAGTATACATTTATTTTTTACTGTGACTTTTGCAGGACCACATTTTACAAAATACCTATTTTCATTTATTCTTTTTTTTGGAAAATAAAGTGCTGTTACAATTGTTTTAGTTTGACTATAGAACAGTTTTTTGATTACGGCTTACTTTGAAAGCTTGAGTTTAATTCAAATGTATGCCAACACTTCTCAAAGTAATGTAATATTCAGAAATGGATGTTCTGATTAGGTGGCTTTGAGAAATTTCTGGAATATTCGCATTTGAAGATAACCGTATTGATGATTATCTGTCTTAAATCTAACCAAAAACTGCAACATTATTCTTTGTACATTTTCATTATACAGTGTTGACAAGCTTGGTTATAAATAAAATACTTAAGCTATTTGTGAGAAAAAATATGAGAGATTTTGCATTTTTGTAAGAGTGAAATTCATCTTTTCATGTTTATTTACTACTTCTATTTTTTCTCTTTGGATTACATTTTGGTTTCTCTTGTTCATTTTCCTTTGGGTTATAAGTTAACATAAATCAGTTTATCAATTAGAAACATAAACACATATACTATTTATGGTGATGAGTTTTAAAAATTTTTAAATTTTCTGACAGTTTATGTTGACACCAAAGTGACAGTATTTACAGTTAAATCTGTTGATTTCCTTTGTCTTGACTTCAGTTATGCTTAGAAACTCTTTTCATACCCTTCCCTGTAAAGCCCATTTTCTTTTTTTCTTTTTTTGGTACTGGGGATTGAACTCGGGTCTTTGCGCTTGCAAGGCAGGCCACCAAACCGCT